CCCGCCGCCGGCCGCGCGCCGGGGGGGGCCGCGGGCCCCCGGGCCGGCGCCGGGGGCGGGGGGGGGGGGGTCGGGGGCAGGGCTGCGGGGGGGGTGGGGGGGGGGGGGGTTGAACTGACGACGTTCGTGCCGAACAACTCGCATCGTTTGACAAAAAGACAACAACCAATTCGCCCGCTTCTGGGGCCCGCTCAACTCCCCCCCGTCTCTACATGTATCTACCTCTTCCTTGGAGCAAAGGGCTCTCCCTCATAGCCCCGCCCCAAAACACGCTTCACAGGCACACCCAAGCAGCAGACGATGACCCCCGATCACAGACACGAGTACACCCCCGCCCCCATCTCACACACGCCTCAACTACAACCTCCTCGCAAAAACAGGACTGCCTACGCATGGAAAATAAGCTTATCACGAAAACAGACCAGGCCAAAATAAGTGGTCCCATAGTGTATCCGGTCGCCCCGGTGGTCTAGTTGGTATCGTCGAAACCTTGTAGAGGTCAGGTCAGGGGTTCGAAACCCAGCGTAAGCGAGCTTTTCTTGCAAAGTGAGTTTTTCTCTCGCTTCCGCTTCTGGCCTAGTGGATATCGCTAGTTCGTGTGTACCAGAGGTGCTGAACTCTTCTTGCATTAAAAATCGAAGGTAAAGTACCGCAGGAGGGGAGGGAAGAGAGGGGCTCTTCTGTGTGACCACGCGTTGGAATAAACCGCGCTATTAGTGCTGTGAGCGCTGATTTGACGTAAGACAAAAAAAAAAAACATAGTGTATACATTATACCCCGCCCCGTCTTCCCCGCGTAGCGCACACGCCTCGACGCTTACCTGAGGAAAACCACCTCGTCTCCAGGAGCGAAAGACTCCACCTTGGCGACGTCCCACATCTCCTCGAGGGACAGCGGCTCCCGCCCCTTGGGCACTCCGAGTCTCCGCACGTCTACTCCGCGGTGCCCCCCGCTGCTGCTGTGCACCAACGCGAGACCCGTCGCCATCGGTATTAGCAGGCGGCGGCGGCGATATATAGAGAGAAGGAGGGTGACTACGACA